AAGCCTTCAGCGAGAGTAGTGCTGCCATGGGGCAAGAACCACACACCGCCGGTTCCAGGGCTCGCCGCCCGAAGTTCTAGCTACAGTTCCGTTACAGGTATAGGTTTAATACCCGCCGCTATCTGCGAATGCTGTTGCTGTTGTTGTTGTTGTTGCTGTTGTTGCAGCTGCTGCTGTTGAAGATGGTGATGGTGATGATGAGAAGGGATCTGTTGCGACTGAGGTTGATGATGATGGTGGTGATGGTGAGTGGACGCGGATCTGACCATGTACTCGTCCTCGGAGAAAGTTTTTTGATACTCGTGTTCCTTGCGGGAAATGCCGCGATTCTTCCATTTGTAGTCCTTCAAGGCGTCCCTGACGTGTCTACGACATCTGTAGTAGAGGATCAGAGCCAAGCCGGTGAGCAAGGCAAGGCCAGCGACGCATAAAGTCGCTAACAATGCTTGTTTCCGGGGATCGGAGAAGGCGCAGCCTAGTTCGTCAGGTGTCATACCCTTGATGGGTTTCCCTTTTGATTCCGGAGGTTCCGCGCATAATACCGGACTAGAGTTTCTCGGGACGAGAACCTCGGCTAGCCAGAGCAAGCTACAATCGCAGACCAAGGGATTCTCGCTTAAATCCAGTCGACGCAGTTCGTTCCAGGCTACCAAAGACTCTGAGAAGCCGGTGAACGCGTTGTCACGTAGCATTAAATGCCTCAAGTTGGGTAAACCGGCCAGAGAACCGTCCTCCATTGTAGTCAACCGTTTGTTGCTGTTCAACACCAGGGTCTCTAAATTGGCGTTGTCCGAGAATGCACCCCGTTCGACGGTGATTAACAATTTCGCCGCGGATATATCCAGCTTCTTCAACTTGGATAGACCTTGAAAGGCACCGGATCTCAGAGTCGTGAAGAAGTTTTGACCCAAGGTAAGTTCTTCGAGGCGAGGCAGAACCGCCAACTGTTTCGTCGGTACTTCTCGTAACTTGTTTCCATCCAGTTCCAACGTACGCAAAGCGTTTAAGCCTCGAAAAGCACCGTCGCTGATGTTATCTAAACCAGCACCGGTAATATCCAGCACGGTCAACTGTTCCAATCCCTTGAACGCGTCATCCGGAAGCGACGAGAAGGCGTTCCAACCTATATGCAACTCAGCCAAGGCGTTCAACGGCGCGAGAGCTGGCGACGGGATGGTTCTCAACTGATTATCGTCCAGATGCAACACTCTCAGCGTACCCAATTTTTGAAAAGCTCCTGGCTCTACCTTCGATATGCGATTCTTTCCCAAGTCTAGTTCCTCCAACTTTGATAACGAGGCAAACAGACCGTTCTTCAGACTTTCCAAGTAGTTGTCCCGTAGATTCAGTACCGTCAGAGATTTCAAACCTTGAAACGTCTTCTCGGTCAACGCTGAGATCTTGTTGTGTCTGAGATGAAGCTCCACCAGTTGCTTTTGCGCGTCGAAACTCCCGTTGGGAATGGTAAACAGGTGATTGCTCGATAGATCGACGTTTTTCAGGTCCCCGTAGAATTGAAACGCCGCCGCGTCCACTATCTTTATCCGATTTTCCTTCAACACTATCCGCTGGATACTCGGGTTCAGGGCGATCGGTATGACGTCCAAATTCGCGCCTATACAGGATACCACGAGGTTGTCGTCGTCGCAGATGCAGCCGTTTGGACAGATCGCAGCCGTTCCGAGCGCGAACGTGACAGCCAGGACGAGCAGGTGCAACAGCGTAGCCGATACGGTCACACGGCAGCGTGGCGTCTGCGAACGATAAACAAGAAACTTTTTATTAAGTAGGTTCACTGACTATGGCTTATCGTCGAACGTGATTTAATTTAATTTATCGTCGAGTTTTCTACCAAGACTTGGTCAAACTATCGTAGACCCGCGATCGTCGACTACCGTGATCGACACAAACGAGCAAAGTTATCTTTGCTCCGGCTTAAGTTTAGTAGATCAACTTCTATACGTTATGCCTTCCACTTATTCCTTCGTACGGAGTTATTCGTTTTTCGACTATACAGGCCAGCCTGAACATAATTACGAAGATCACGGATATTTTTTGATCCATCCAATCCTATCGGAACTTGAAATCTATTTCGAAAGATTGGAAGTTTCTCAGAGAGGATAACTCGTAGTAGAAACGAATCCTAGAGAAGATTCGTCCGAAAAGCTAGGTGGATTGGGTTCAACCGCGATGAATGTCCCGTGAAATTAGGCTCGCTGTTCTGCGTACGTATGTTAATCTGTACATGAAATGCGCGGAAAACACGAGAGGGCTTGCTTTTAACGGTGCTGTACGATTGCGACGTGTCAGCCGCATTTAAGGCTAAAAACGGGTGCGTCATTAGGAAAGGATTATACGCTCGCAATACCGAACTTACTTGCGAGGTCACCGCGGCACTCGACTCCATTACTCATTTCCCATTTCAGCCGTATCACGAGATTCAGCCGCCATTTAATAAATCGAGGTCCTCGAACGTGCTCTGATATTATTTATTCGAGCATTTCTGCATACTTGCTGGCAGCACGCACGTGTTTCGTGTGCAAATCTTTAGCGGCGTGTGTGCTGAATAAATCGACGGCACGCTCGCAGATGCCGAGTATGATTAGGCGACGTTGTAATTTCATGAAAATATCGCCGAGAATCTTAACCTAAGTGACCATATTCGACCTCTTTGTTATCGTTTCTAATCAAATGTAATATGCAAATGTCATCGCTTTTTGGTTTTTATTTAACGAGCCTTGCTAGCGTTATTCGATTGTTGGTTGGTGTCGGTTAAATTTGATCATGATTTTTATAAAAATAAAATATCATAAATTCGATTGATTTACCGGGATCGTAGGTCTACTATCCACATCTACCCTATCCCTATCTATCGTGGGTTCCATGCGTAAATAAATCATGCAAATGCGTAAATAACGTAATACATTCTAACGAGATATAATTAACGAAAAATTTATCGCTGCTTGTGACTTGTATTATTTCCAAACACGTGATATCCGTAACGTTACAAACACACGTTTATCGCAATACGTATAACTTCCTTTCAATATTTTCAATTTAACACGGACCGAATTGCTTCTATTCGTGTATTATTTACTGTTCAGCAATCAGTCGACCGTATTCCATGATTCAACATGATTAAAATTAATACCATACTTGTAACTACGATTATAACATAAAGTAATATAATATCGGTAAAATGTATCATATTCGTAAACATTTTTAGGTGTTAAATAAAGGGCATAAAAGAGATGGGAACATTTCGAAATAATTAATTTCAGTACTGTTTTCTGTGCTACGAGTTTTAAAAAAAGCAGCGCAGTAGCAGCTACGAGTCGAGAGCAACTCGTTAATTTAGAAACAGAGCTTCCCTCTTTCATTAAAAAAAAAAAAAAAAAAAAAAAAAAAAAAAAAAAATGGCCGTTGCTGCTAGTTTCATTGGCGATCACACGAGTTCTAATGGCAGAAAATGCCCCTTCTCGTATTGCTCTTAATCGATATGGTTGTATAAAACGGTACGGTAGAGCGTAGTTGCCCTAAGTTCATTCGTTAGAAAGATTGAGACAGATATGGGTGAAGTAGCGTAGAAAAGTTGATGGATACTCTCCGAGATCGTTCTTGATCACTCGACGCTATCGACTTTATGAATTTTCAACGTGTCGATACATCGCGGACTTGCGAGAATAGCGAAACCGAGCTATGAAGCGTTAGAAACGTTCGAGTGAATTAAATCGATATTAATGCACGTAATGTATACGTAATTAACGGACAATATGTTAAAAAACAGTGATTCTTAAAAGTATGTAAGTATACTTGATTTGGTACAAATCGATATAATCCATGAGAAATTGTTTTCCTATGTCGATTAAAAAAAAAAAAAAAAAAAAAAAAAAAAGTAAATGGAAAATAACGCTCTGGATTTATATTCATATAAATAAAGCGCTAAACGTATTGGCTCTCAAATTCGAAAGAAGCTCTTCGTACGGCTGACTTTTCGTATTCTGACGCGATCGAAAGTTGCACGGGATCGAACTCGCAAAATGGACACAAGTTTTGATTACTTTAAGACCGGTAGACAGCTTTCTCCCTTTGAGGTCAGTTGTATTCGAATGGGAAGGAAAACAGCACTTCGACGCTGCGGCAGGTCGATACAATTATAAACTCGACAACGAACAAGGGGCAAAAGAAATTATGCAGTGTGTATGGAAGAAACGAAAGCGTTTCGTATTCGTGGAAACTTCGGCCGACAGG